GTAAACAGCATGTAAACAATGGGTTCGTGTTGTCATCAAGCATGTAAACAATGGGTTCGTGTTGTCATCAAGCATGTAAACAATGGGTTCGTGTTGTCATCAAGCATGTAAACAATGGGTTCGTGTTGTCATCAAGCATGTAAACAGTAGTTTGTGTTGTCATCAAGCATGTAAACAATGGGTTGTGTTGTCATCAAGCATGTAAACAACAATGGGTTTGTGTTGTCATCAAGCATGTAAACAATGGGTTTGTGTTGTCATCAAGCATGTAAACAATGGGTTCGTGTTGTCATCAAGCATGTAAACAATGGGTTCGTGTTGTCATCAAGCATGTAAACAGTAGCTTTGTGTTGTCATCAAGCATGTAAACAATGGGTTTGTGTTGGCATCAAGCATGTAAACAATGGGTTCGTGTTGTCATCAAGCATGTAAACAATGGGTTCATGTTGTCATCAAGCATGTAAACAATGGGTTTGTGTTGTCATCAAGCATGTAAACAATGGGTTCGTGTTGTCATCAAGCATGTAAACAGTAGCTTTGTGTTGTCATCAAGCATGTAAACAGTAGATTTGTGTTGTCATCAAGCATGTAAACAGTAGATTTGTGTTGACATCAAGCATGTAAACAGTGTGTTTGTATCATCAAGCATGTGAACAGTGCGTTTGTGTCATCAAGCATGTAAACAATGGGTTCGTGTTGTCATCAAGCATGTAAACAATGGGTTCGTGTTGTCATCAAGCATGTAAACAGTAGCTTTGTGTTGTCATCAAGCATGTAAACAGTGTGTTTGTATCATCAAGCATGTGAACAGTGCATTTGTGTCATCAAGCATGTAAACAATGGGTTCGTGTTGTCATCAAGCATGTAAACAGTAGCTTTGTGTTGTCATCAAGCATGTAAACAGTAGATTTGTGTTGTCATCAAGCATGTAAACAGTAGATTTGTGTTGTCATCAAGCATGTAAACAGTGCAATTGTGTCATCATTAAGCATGTAAATAGTGCATTTGCGATGTCATCAAGCATGTAAACAGTGCAATTGTGTTGTCATCAAGCATGTAAACAGTGTGTTTGCATCATCATCAAGCAAGTAAACTGTTCGTGTTGTCATCAAGCATGTAAACAATGCATTCGTATCATAATCAACATGTAAACAGTGCATTTGCGTCATCAAGCATGTAAACAGTGTGTTTGTCTTGTCATCAAGCATGTAAACAGCGCATTTGTGTTGTCATCAAGCATGTAAACAGTGCGTTTGTGTTGACATCAAGCATGTAAACAGTGCGTTTGTGTCATCAAGCATGTAAACAGTGCGTTTGTGTTGACATCAAGCATGTAAACAGCACATTTGTGTTGTCATCAAGCATGTAAACAGTGTGTTCGTGTCATCAAGCATGTAAACAGCACATTTGTGTTGTCATCAAGCATGTAAACAGTGTGTTCGTGTCATCAAGCATGTAAACAGCGCATTTGTGTTGTCATCAAGCATGTACACAGTGCGTTTGTGTTGACATCAAGCATGTAAACAGTGTATTCATGTCATCAAGCATGTAGACAGTGTGTTTGTGTTATCATCAAGCATGTAAACAGTGCGTTTGTGTTGACATCAAGCATGTAAACAGTGCGTTTGTGTCATCAAGCATGTAAACAGTGCGTTTGTGTTGACATCAAGCATGTAAACAGCACATTTGTGTTGTCATCAAGCATGTAAACAGTGTGTTCGTGTCATCAAGCATGTAAACAGCACATTTGTGTTGTCATCAAGCATGTAAACAGTGTGTTCGTGTCATCAAGCATGTAAACAGCGCATTTGTGTTGTCATCAAGCATGTAAACAGTGCGTTTGTGTTGACATCAAGCATGTAAACAGTGTATTCATGTCATCAAGCATGTAGACAGTGTGTTTGTGTTATCATCAAGCATGTAAACAGTGTGTTCGTGTCATCAAGCATGTAAACAGCGCATTTGTGTTGTCATC